TGCGAATAGCATACGTTTGCCAGACTACAATCCACGCAACCCCAGGGTATGGTTTCACCAGGTGGAAGCCGTTTTTACTACCCCACGCATCAATTTTTAAGCCACGTGAGTTTCCTATGTTGTCCAGCATCTTCCTTGTGATGTAGCAACAGAATTGGGAGATCTGTTAGAAGATAATCCCAAGGAAAACCCGTATGACGCCCATCGAACGGCCGTCATAAGTAGGACAGGGAAATCAGAAAACAAAATGCTACGGGATCTGTTCACCACTGTGGAACTTGGGGACAGATCGCCATCACAAATGCTTCGCCACATGCGCAGTCTCCTCTGCAGCCGTAAGCTGGCGGTGGAAATCATGGCCCAACTGTGGCTCGACAAACTTCCACCCTCCATGTCCCACTTCATCAGTGCTTTCGTTGATGACCACAGCTTGGAGCAGCTAGACCAAATCGCTGATAAAATCCACGAAGCACTATCCCCGTAAACTCCGTATCCCGCCCTACACCCACTGGTTCCACAGATTCCGATCTGATTCAACTACAATCTGAATTTGATACCTTGACCGATCGACCCCAAAGGCTGGAGATCAACAAGCATCGACCATGTTTACGATCCCAACCGTCGTCTCGTAACCGTCCCACTTGGTGCTGGTATCACTAAACTTTCGGTCCTCAAGCACGCAATTGCCGACCGCCTTGTTCCTCCAAGCTGCGTTCCATCACCCCTTTAAACAACCCAGCCGGTCAGTAACGGCGAATGCTGTCCGTGACCCTCCTCGCACTAGTCGCCTATTTCACATCACCGATCGTTCAAGCGGTCCACCTTTCCTCTTAGATACGGCAGCTGAAGTTAGCGGGCTGGCATGTCAGTACACCCTGATTGGATTATTGCTTATTCGCTGACCTGGGCCAACGGCGAACTAGTTTAAAGAGAACAAGTACGAGTGAGTCTGTTTCATCTGACCTCTTTATTATTGTACACCCAAGCTAGCGCTATTATTTTTATTCCTTTGCCACACACTCCTGGTGAAGTAGCTTATTGGGTAGCCAGACAACTCAGCAAGCAACCATTTTCGCATCGGTTTCCTGGACGCCTTTCGTGCGTCCTGAAAAGACAATTTGGTTAGCGCACTCAACGAGCTCTTGGGCCCCTATTGGGTAGCCAGACAACTACACCAGCAACCATTTTCGCATCGGTTTCCTGGACGCCTTTCGTGCGTCCTGAAAAGACAATTTGGTTAGCGCACTCAACGAGCTGTGACTTGGGCCCCATTGGGAATTTTGGATTTCATGCGAGTAGTACGAGAGAAGTTGCGCCGAATCATCCGTAAAACGACAAGTGCTTTTTGGGCCGATTTCTGATGGCGCAGTTAGAAGGACGATTTTAAAAAGCCAGCTACCCAAATCCATTTGGACGTTTATCCCTATGAGGTTTCCTGGTCCCTACTTACCATGTGTGACAAAGACATTCGCTGGGTCTCCTCCAAACGACAGATGGACGC